TCGCATTTTTCATTTTGTGGAGCAAGATGTCTTCCAGATCTCTACAGGACATGAAATGTTAACCTAGAGGTTTTTAAGCTTGAATTGCAAAAAATTCTTCTCCAATTCAAAGCTAGACTGCAAGCTATACCACAAGTGGCTCACGAGCGGTGAAGTCGCTGAGCGCTGGTATTTCGACCTAGGATTAAATCCCGACGAAAGGTCTGCCTACGTGGTTGATTTTCGTGGTTTTCCCCATATGCAACGTGATACGAGTCAGTTTCCCTCAAAACGTCATCCTCGAAGTCATCATTCCCAAAGGCATATAGCCCTCGAATTGCCTCGAATCAATAAACCTAACTTAACCAGTACCGCAAATGGTATCCACCGAAATTAAATAAAATCAGGACGACTGGGCCTTCGCTATACTTATCGACAACACCTGAAGCAATCCACTCGCCAAAATACTGATATACTCGCCAAAATGATGTTGGCGCGTTTCTTTGTTCTTGGTTTCGAATAACATATGTGTCTTTTTACGGAATAGAAAATTTTATTTTTAGAAACACTGTTCGTTCCCCGATAGAATCAGTTTTCCTTTTCGGAATTAATTAAAAAACTCTGCAAGGTACTTACATATTAGAGCAAACGCCTTGGCTGAGTTTGGCGATTTTATACAGAAGAAAAAGGTTATTCGGTGAATTTTCGGATTGCAAATTACAATGTATATGCGTACCTAAAGAAAGTGTTATGCATATGGTTGTCAGAGTTTGCCGACTTCTCAAAATTTATCAACTTCTATTAAGGTACTACACCTTCTACTAAGACCATACGTAAGTACCTTTTGCAATTTTCTATAGGTAATAGCAATTTTCTGGTGCTATATTGATATTATTTACGAAACTACTAGTAATTACACCAGTAACTGAATATTTCCATGGTAATTTATGACGGTTACATTGTGCTGCAGTTTTTTATGCACAACAGATGTTCAAAATGAAACAGGGCTTGTTAAAATTTTTCTGCGAAAAGAAAAGGGTAAATGCTGCTTTAATTTGGCCAATTTCACCTTAAAAAAGGTGAATAGTTTAATAATTATGGCGGTCCCCATGACTGAATCGCCAGTCAACCGAGAGGTCTGGCCAAAATCTGGCCGCGTGTTCTTATACTTCGCCAAATGATTGAATATTAGCATAATGTTGGCTTTTTGCTCTCGCTGAGTGCTCTCATATTATTCGTTTTCGATGAGGTTTTCGAATTGTTGTTGATTAAAAATATGTTCATTATTTTTTCGGGGAGAACTTGATATTGTTACGAAATGTCCAGGCGCGGTAACATAGCTTCCCCGCAAAGCAGGTTTAGGGTTGCCATAAAATGACAAAAAAGGGGAGAGTTGCCAGATTTCGCGAAAAATCGTCCATTTGGCAACAAAATTGGCGATATGCCATCAAGAACCTTCTGGAACGAATTCTTACCGGTTTAGCCCAGAATGTTCTCGAACACAAGCCCAAAACTATATAAACCCTGCTGGTACGTGGAGAGTGAGTGCGAGATAGTTAGTGTCTCGAGTTAGTCAGTCCGAGTCGATGGAGTTAACAGCCGGCCAGCGAGTGTCGAGTGGGTCGTCGAGTGCATCAAAGAGTCTCTCAGTGTATCGCGGTTAGTGCATCGTCGAGAGAGTGTGTTAAGCTCCGGGAACGACTGAACCGAAGGGTCGGGAGCTGTGCACTGTGTGTCGTCGAGTGCATCGGGGAGAGTCTCGAGAGTACGTGAAGTTCCGAGAACGCCCACGCAGACTCGGCAGCTGTACTCTGGTGCTTTTGAGTGAAGCTGCCTCCACCGTTATAGCCTGATAATCTGAAGGCTGTGTCGCTGATTGTTCCAGCAAGTTTACAGTAGATCTTCGACGACTGTAAAACGTGACTTTGGAGCTGTCCTGATTAATACCGGCCAATAAAGTGTGTTTCGATACTTCATCAAGTGTCGTCGTTATTCACTCCAAATCTACGAACCCCGTACGAACGTGAAGGAAGAAAATAACGTAACGATATTAACAACCTTTAATTTACCAAGTAATGAGGCGGATACCTTATCATGTTTTCAAGAAATAGGTCTTCTACCTGACAAACCAGATGCGAAAATCGCCACAACATGAAATTTTTTGTTAATGGCACGAGCATTTGGAGCTTCAATGTGTTAAAAATTGCGAAAAGAAAAAGGCCTCCGTGTCGGAAATTGGTTCGGAAGCTCCAGACTATCGTTCGTTAGTGCTATTAGATTTATGTAATCTTGGGCAGAAAAGATGACGTCCATGAAATGCTGTAACAAAAACTTACTATGTGTAAAAGTTCTGCAGTTGATGGGACCAATGTCATGCCAAAAAGTAATAATAATGAGGGTAAGGATAAGGATTCTTAAAAGCATTCACAGGAAGAGACACATTAGTATTATTGTTATTATTATATATTCTGTTGTTTATTTTTATATCCTTAAAAGTATTCGTAGGAAGAGACATTATATATTCTGTTGTTTATTTTTATATTCTTAAAAGTATTCATAGGAAGAGACACATTAGTAGTATTGTTATTATAATATATTCTGTTGTTTATTTTTATGTTCTTAAAAGTATTCATAGGAAGAAACACGTTAGTATTATTGTTATTATTATATATTCTGTTGTTTATTTTTATATTCTTAAAAGTATTCATAGGAAGAGACACGTTAGTATTATTGTTATTATTATATATTCTGTTGTTTATTTTCATAATCTTAAAAGCATTCACAGGAAGAGACACATTAGTATTATTGTTATTATTATATATTCTGTTGTTTATTTTTATGTTCTTAAAAGTATTCATAGGAAGAGACACGTTAGTATTATTGTTATTATTATATATTCTGTTGTTTATTTTTATATTCTTAAAAGCATTCACAGGAAGAGACACATTAGTATTATTGTTATTATTATATATTCTGATGTTTATTTTTATATTCTTAAAAGTATTCGTAGGAAGAGACATTATATATTCTGTTCTTTTTATATTCTTAAAAGTATTCATAGGAAGAGACACATTAGTATTATTGTTATTATTATATATTCTGTTGTTTATTTTTATGTTCTTAAAAGTATTCATAGGAAAGAGACACGTTAGTATTATTGTATTATATATATTCTGTTGTTTATTTTTATTCTTAAAAGCATTCACAGGAAGAAACACATTATTATTGTTATTATTATATATCTGTTGTTATTTTTATATTCTTAAAGATCGTAGGAAGAGATTATATGTTGTTATTTTTATATTTAAAGTATTCATAGGAAGAGGACACATTAGTATTTTATTATAATATATTCTGTTGTTTATTTTTATGTTCTTAAAAGTATTCATAGGAAGAAACACGTTAGTATTATTGTTATTATTATATATTCTGTTGTTTATTTATATTCTTAAAAGTATTCATAGGAAGAGACACATTGTTAGTATTATTGTATTATTTATATTCTGTTGTTTATTTTCATAATCTTAAAAGCATTCACAGGAAGAGACACATTAGTATTATTGTTATTATTATATTTGTGTTATTTTATGTTTAAAAGTATTCATAGGAAGAGACACGTTTATTATTGTTATTATTATATTGTTGTTTATTTTTATATTTTAAAAGCATTCACAGGAAGAACACATTGTATTATTATATATTCTATATATTCTGATGTTTTTATATTCTTAAAGTATTCTTAGGAAGAGACACATTAGTATTATTGTTATTATTATATATTCTGTTGTTTATTTTTATGTTCTTAAAAGTATTCATAGGAAGAGACACGTTAGTATTATTGTTATTATTATATATTCTGTTGTTTATTTTTATATTCTTAAAAGCATTCACAGGAAGAGACACATTAGTATTATTGTTATTGTTATATATTCTGTTGTTTATTTTTATATTCTTAAAAGTATTCATAGGAAGAGACACGTTAGTATTATTGTTATTATTATATATTCTGTTGTTTATTTTTATATTCTTAAAAGCATTCACAGGAAGAAACATTATTATGTTATTATTATATATCTGTTGTTTATTTTATATTCTTAAAAGTGTTCATAGGAAGAGACATTATATATTCTGTTATTTTTATATTCTTAAAAGTACTCATAGGAAGAGACACATTATATTATTTTATATTATATTCTGTTGTTATTTATTGTTCTTAAAGTATTCATAGGAAGAGACACGTTAGTATTATTGTTATATTATATATTCTGTTGTTTATTTTTATATCTTAAAAGCATCACAGGAAGAGACACATTAGTATTATTGTATTATTATATATTCTGTTGTTTATTTTTATATTCTTAAAAGTATTCGTAGGAAGAGACATTATATATTCTGTTGTTTATTTTTATATTCTTAAAAGTATTCTAGAGAGGACACATTATTATTATATATTCTGGTGTGTTATTTTTATATCTTAAAAAGTATTCATAGAAGAGAACACATTAGTATTATGGTTTATAATATTCTGTTGTTTATTTTTTATTCTTAAAAGTATTCATAGAAGAGACACCTTAGTATTACTGTTATTATTATACATTCTGTTGTTTATTTTTATATTCTTAAAAGTATTCATAGGAAGAGACACATTAGTATGTTATTATTATATATTCTGTTGTTTATTTTTATATATCTAGGAAGAGACACATAGTATATTGTTATTATATGATTTTTCTTGTTTATTTTATATTCTCGCTTCACGAGCTTGGCGCCTGAGATCTTGGCGCAAATCTAAAATCGCCAAATATGGTTTACGGTTGCTGTAACAGAGAAGCACCAAATTAATTTCTTCCAGCTGTTTAATATAAATAGCTAGAAGCAACTTTTGTAATTTAAGACAATGGATGTATTATAAATATTTAAATCTCAACTTTAAAATGAAGTTTATGAATATTTAAAATCTTTTTCAAACAGAAAGCAAATGTCCAGTCATTTAAATCTAACGAATATTGTAACAATTGCAGATAAACCGCTGCCTGTCGAAGCTTTTTCCTGCATTAGTCAAGAGTACAGGAAGTTAATTTGTAGCTGGAAAGCTCCTCCCAATCCAGTGAAAACAGACTACATTTTGTACGACTATTTCTATCACGAAAAGTAAGTAAATCCCGTTGATGTTTGCATGTAAGGCAGAGGAATTTTTTTTCCTCACATTTTCTGTGCATATTATTTAAACTCAGTTGTTGAGATTTTTAGATTTCAATTTTCCCTTCAGTTATTTCAAGCACGATATATTGAAGATGTATTTGAAGAACGATACTACAAAAATTTTGATTTATGGATCTTACAGCCCGCGATTTGAGGTATGTAAAACACTTCACCGTTTCCCCGAGACAAACTCGTCTATTTGAAAAGTGTCTTCAGGAATCAGCAACGGAACTCATTCATTGAGTTAATGTGGTCCGGTCCCCGAGAGACAGTAATCGGTAGTTTCGTATTTCCCCCAAAATGCAGCGAAAAGGGAAAGAGGTGCTGGATGGTTTGATTGGCTCTATGTCATTTGAGAAAAAGTCCCCCCCCCCGCCCAAATGCATCGAAAAGGGAAAGAGGTGATTGGTGGCTTAATTGGCTCTATGGGATTTCAGAAAAAGTTCCTCCCCCCTCCGCAAAATATAGCGAAAAGGAAAAGAGGTGATTAATGTCTAAATTCGCTCTATGTCATTTCGGAAAAATCCTACCCCAAATGCAGCAAAAAGGGAAAAAAATGTGATTGATGGCTTAAGTGGATCTGTGTCATTTCAGAAAATGTATACCCAAAATGCAGCGAAAAGGAAAAGAGGTGATTGACAGCTTGATTGGCTCTGTGTCATTTCACAAAACTTCCACCCCTCCTAATTGCATCGAAAGGGAAAAGATATGATTGATGGCTTAATTGGCTCTACGTCATTTCAGAAAATGTTCCCCCAAATGCAGCGAAAAGGAAAAGAGGTGATTGATAGCTTAATAGGCTCTGTAGCATTTCAGAAAAAGTCCATCCCCAAAATGTAGCGAAAGGAAAAGAGGTGATTGATGGCTTAATTGGCTCCATGTCCTTTCAAAAAACATCCACCCCTCCTAATTGCAGCGAAAGGGAAAGCAGGTGATTCATGAATTAATTGGCTCTATGTTATTTCAGAAAATGTCCCACCAAAATGCAGCGAAAAGAAAAAGAGGTGACTGATGGCTTAAATGGCTCTATATCATTTCAGAAAACATCCACCGCCCCCCCCTCAAATGCAGCGAAAAGTAAAAGAGGTGATTGATGGCTTAATTGGCTCTATGTCATTTCGGAAAAGTCTCTCCCCCCCCCGCCAAATGCAGCGAAAAGAAAAAGTGGTGATTGATGGCTTAATTGGCTCCATGTCATATCAGAAGAAGTCCTCCCCCCCCCGCAAAATATAGTGAAAAGAAAAAGAGATGATTGATGTCTTAATTCGCTCTATGTCATTGCGGAAAAGTTCAACCCCAAATGCAACGAAAAATAAAATAATTGATTGATGGCTTAATTTGCTCTATGGCTTTTCAGAAAACATCCTCCCTCCAAATTGCAGCGAAAGGGAAAAGAGGTGATTGATGGTTTAATTGGCTCTATGTTCTTTCAAAAATGACTCTCGCCCCCCCCCCAAAAAATGCTTCGAAAAGGAAAAGAGATGTTTGTAGCTTAATTGCCTCTGTCATTTAAGAAAAAATCCGATTGTGTGTCAGAATACTTATGTTAGAACAATGCTACATGTAAATCTAATATAAATGTTACCGCTTAAAGTTGTCGGTTTGCCTAGCTAAACTGCAGAATAACTGATTTGCTCCATTAAAGTGGGGCATCAAGAGTTTTCTGCCTTTTACCTAGGCAAAGTGCACATTAACAGCTTCCGTATCGTTGAAGTTCAAAAGTTTCTTTCTCTCTTTTCCTTTTCCTCACCCCCTCCCACTTTGCACATGGCCTAGCAGGCACTCGATCAAAAAGTCAGCAAATTAGTTGATAGAATCAATCATCAATCAATTAAAAAACTATAATACAAAGAATAAAACGGTTTAAAGATTTTTACGGTTAAGTGGATGAATTTGCAAAACATATAAGATTATCCTCACTGAGTGAAATCTGAAGATTCATGACATAGTAGATTACACAGAACGTGGATCTTGCGACAGGCACGCCTATTTGTGGTACATTTAGATTTGCAGTAACATTTTCGGAAACGCAGCCCGATCAGCAATTTAAAACTGGCGGATGTTTTAAGCGTAGTTCCAGAAAACATTGCTGTTGTTCCAGAAAGATCTTATTTTCACTTTAACTAGTGCCTAGTAGGTAATGTGCAGATTGTCTAGGTAATTTGGAGATTACCTAAGTAATTTCAGAAATGAAACAATTTTTCGCACGTTAACGAATCCCCCTAGATATGTAGTGCACAATTTTCCGCGCTTCAACGGATCCCCCTGGTTATGTACTGCATAATTTACTGCACTTTAATGGCTTACCCTACTTATGCAGTGCACAATTTTCAGTACTTTAACGGATCATCCTAGTTATGTAGTACATAATTTCCCGCGCTTTAACAGGTCACCCTAGTTATGTAGTGCACAATCTTCCGCACTTTAACGGACCACCCTAGTTATGTTGTGCACAATTTTCGGCACTTTAACGGATCACCTTAGGTATGTACTGCACAATTTTCTGCACTTCAACGGATCCCCCTAAATATGTACTGCACAATTTTCCGCACTTCAACGGATCCCCCTAGATATGCACTGCACAATTTACTGCACTTTGATGGCTTACCCTACTTATGCAGTGCACAATTTTCCGTACTTAACTAGGATAACGGATCATCCTAGTTATGTAGTACATAATTTCCCGCGCTTTAACAGGTCACCCTAGTTATGTAGTGCACAATCTTCCGCACTTTAACGGACCACCCTAGTTATGTTGTGCACAATTTTCGGCACTTTAACGGATCACCTTAGGTATGTACTGCACAATTTTCTGCACTTCAACGGATCCCCCTAAATATGTACTGCACAATTTTCCGCACTTCAACGGATCCCCCTAGATATGCACTGCACAATTTACTGCACTTTGATGGCTTACCCTACTTATGCAGTGCACAATTTTCCGTACTTAACTAGGATAACGGATCATCCTAGTTATGTAGTACATAATTTCCCGCGCTTTAGCAGGTCACCCTAGTTATGTAGTGCACAATCTCCCGCACTTTAACGGACCACCCTAGTTATGTTGTGCACAATTTTCGGCACTTTAACGGATCACCCTAGTTATGTACTGCACAATTTTAAGCAATTCAACGGATCCCCCTAGTTATGTAGTGCGAAATTTTCCGTATTTTAAAGAATCACCTTAGTGTTAACCTGCAGATTAGCTAGAAAATCAACAGAGTAAATTGTTTCCGCACTTTAGCGGTAACGTATATCCTAAGTCGAATTTTCGAGACATGAAAAACGCAAGTTAAGTTTTGTCAGTTGGCCCAGTAGAACGGGAGACATAGAATTGTATTCTTTTTCTTTTTGTGTGTGTGTGTGCAGAGTGTACCTTAACTAACCGCGTTCTCCATTAATTGAATTTTTTTTTAAATATTTTTTAGGAAAGTTGGGAAAATACAATTTACTTCTATTTAAAAATAATTTATATCCTTATAATTTATTTTACAGTGTGAGACGGTTATGCCCAGAATATTTGAATGCCACCAGTTGCCTATGGGCAATGGATACTCGAGCTCCTTATATGAGATCCAGACCACAACTCACATTTATGATGGTTGGGAGAAACTCTTTAGGTACAAATAAACAGTATTTTAATGTAGAGCATTTCAAAATAGGTAAGCATTATTTAACTCCATAAGACAAAATTCTTGAATCTAAATTTCTATTGCTGTTGCCAATTCTGAAAGAATTTTTATTTATTTATTTATTTATTTACACTGATGTGCGAAAATTAAGGACGAAGTCGAAAAATTAGCATATCAGCTGAACAAAGAGGCAGAGCGGACAGAAAGACCAATCAGGAGATTAAGTAAGGTGATGTACGGTAGCACATGCGCAGATATGCAGGTGGACGTAATGGGGAAGTGTCTGAGTAGTATAAAGCATGTTGTCGGTGTAAGATCAGTATTTCTGGCAAAGAGATTGCACGCCGTATAGCAGTTAAAATCACACCGAGTTGCTGCCTCAGCGAGAAATGGCGAATAATCAATCTGTTAGACGACATCTGGATGCTTTTACCCGAGGTCGAATCATTGGGAAGTTGGAGGAAGGCCGCAGTGTGACACGTGTGGCTGCAGAGTTCGGAATTGCTCACAGCATCGTTTCACGACTTTGGAGACAATTTCAAACTACAGGAACAGCTATCCGGGGGCTTAGTAGTGGTCGTCCACGAGGAACCACACCCGCAGATGACCGGTATATTGCCTTACAGGCCAGAAGAAACAGGCGGCAGACAGCGGGAGAAATCGCTAGAACACACGACACAGGCGACTGGACGACCGATATCGCGTTTTACCCTGGCTAGAAGACTGCACGGTGGTGGTTTGTTTACACGACTCCCTGTACGGTGTGTACCTCTAACGCCTGCCCATCGGAGAAGGCGTTCTCTGTGGTGCCGGGAACACCGGAATTGGAGAGACAATGAATGGGGACGAGTACTTTTACAGATGAGAGCAGATTCAGTCTGAGTAGCGATTCTCATCGCATACTCATCTGGAGAGAGCGGGGAAGCCGCAATCATCCCTCGAACATCATTGAAAGGGACAGGTATGGAGGTGGCGGTGTTCTCGTTTGGGGAGGCATCATGCTTGGTAGTCGTACAGACCTTCACATTTTCGACGCAGGTTCAGTCAACGGGACCCGTTATTGTAACGAGATTCTTCTTCCATATGTGCGTCTTTTTAGAGGCGCTCTGGGTCCGCAGTTCCTTTTCATGGACGACAATGCACCATGTCATCGCACAGTAGCTGCCGAACAGCTCTTAGAGAGTGAGGATATTAACGTATGGATTGGCCGGCACGATCTCCGGATCTCAATCCCATCGAGCATGTATGGGATTTTCTAGGCAGACGCTTGGCAGCTCGTACCTTACCACCAGTAACGATTCCGGAGCTTCGATTGGCGCTGCAAGACGAATGGGCAGCAATGCTCAACAACTCATTGACACCCTCATTCTCAGCATGGGCAGACGCTGTGAAACCTGCCTAGCAGTCAGGGTAAGATCATATCCCCTATTAAAGACCGGATGTTTCTTGCTGGACACCCATCACAGGGATGTTTCGGTCTTCAGTCGCATTGCGCTCCATGCTACTTTTTCAATAAAGCTTCTTTTTATCCCTCTGATTTCTCTTTTAGTAAGTGTTGCTTACATTACTCATGTCCTTACGTATTGGGGATCTTACGGTATTAAATGTGTTGATTTGGAAAGCTTTTGTACAAAGTTATATTGAAAAAACCGTCTCGTCCTTAATTTTTGCACACCAGTTTGTTTTAGTGTATTAGTGTATAGGCAGTTAAATGACTATTTATATCAATTACACAAAAATAAACTTTTATGTATTAGTATATAATAATTTAAGCTGGTTCAATTACAGAAAGCAGATGTGATAAATTAAGAATAAGTTAAAGAATTTCTGTGACTATAAATCATTAATTTTTTGGTGTTCTCCCAATAAGCGATCTACCTTACTTAACTGTGTAGTTACTTTATCACTTTTACTTTGTAGATCTACCTTACTAAATTTTTTTTCTTTTTACCCCAATTTTTTTGTTCCGCTATTTTATTCAAATTCGCATAACAAAATTATTGTTATTTAATATTAATAATTTTTTTTAAGTTTCGCAAAATATTTATTTCTTTTAATGTTTTTTATGGTGTGTATAGGGAAGCTTTCAGTGTGCAAATAAAAAGAGAATTTTTTAAAATTATATTAGCTGGTTTAAATATTTTAATGAATTATTCGATACTAATGTAACTCAAAGTGAACCTCTAAATGCTATGGATATAGATTATACCATTAATGTCGCGCATATGGTGAATGACACAGATAAGAAGTAAAACAAAATACACCCGATTTTGTACTGCTATATTTAGTTGCTTCAAAACCTATTTACAAATAATTTGTTGCAAGCAGAGCGAAAAAAAGAAGAGATAATGAATTTGAGAGATATAAATTAAACACTGTTGCCGGTTAAGATAACAGTTATTTCATTTGCTTCTTATTTGAAATCTTTATAATGTAAACGTGAAATTTATTTGAGAATAAATTGATAACAAAGAGTCGAAGACAGCATTTTAAAACATCTTTGCAAATTCAACTCAAAAACTGCATGTGAAAGATAAATAAATACGCATAAATATTGCTTTTACCAAACAAAATAGTCTAAAAAAGAGGTGGTGTCATCTAGTATAAAACTGATTACCTAACTAACGAAATTCGGTAGTTCGTCAGTTGGGACAATACCAATTTCAATGCAGTTGGTAATACAAAGACAAATATCCTTATGCCGTACCGTATTTCCAAAACTATAAAAAATACAATAATAATGCATTGAATGCATAATACAATAATTTACGCAGAGAAGTCTGAAGTACAGAAAAGTATTCCATAAAAAAAATGTAAGTGGATAAAAATTATATATAAAGAAGTTAAAATGAAATCAAATCTGCAATCTGTTTAAAAGGTCTCTAGCCACCCAGTATCTGGAAAAGACACTGTTCTGAGAGACGGCTGAGCAAATTATGAGATGCCCAGCTTTCATAATCTCAGCATTGCAGCGAAGGGGGCCAGGCAGGTCTACCAACTCTTTGAAATCTGTGAAGGTGCGCATATAGCTAGATGAACTGCACCTACAATGCTGCTTCTGGAGTAGTCTGGGAGATTATGCATGTCATTTTATCAGCGTTTGCCTTTCGTTTTTTCTTTTAGCTGTGACAGTTGCTTCGCCTTGAAGTTCATATTTATTTTTGACAATACAGAATTATAACTAACCTCATATTCCAAGAAATTATGGCTTGTTCTTTCTTTTAGTTGTGATAGTTGCTTCGCCTTGAAGGTCATGTTGATTTTTGACGATACAGAATTATAACTAACCTCATATTCCAAGAAATTATGGCTTGTTCTTTCTTTTAGTTGTGACAGTTGCTTCGCCTTGATGGTCATATTTATTTTTGACGATACAGAATTATAACTTACCACATATTCCAAGAAATTATGGCTTGTTCTTTCTTTTAGTTGTGATAGTTGCTTCGCCTTGAAGGTCATGTTGATTTTTGACGATACAGAATTATAACTAACCTCATATTCCAAGAAATTATGGCTTGTTCTTTCTTTTAGTTGTGACAGTTGCTTCGCCTTGATGGTCATATTTATTTTTGACGATACAGAATTATAACTTACCACATATTCCAAGAAATTATGGCTTCTTCTTTCATCTAGTTGTGACAGTTGCTTCGACTTGAAAGTCATATTGATTTTTGACGATACAGAATTATACCTAACCTCACACTGCCAGAAATTATCGCTTGTTCTTTCTTTTAGTTGTGACAGTTGCTTCGCCTTGATGGTCATATTTATTTTTGACGATACAGAATTATAACTTACCACATATTCCAAGAAATTATGGCTTCTTCTTTCATCTAGTTGTGACAGTTGCTTCGACTTAAAAGTCATATTGATTTTTGACGATACAGAATTATACCTAACCTCACACTGCCAGAAATTATCGCTTGTTCTTTCTTTTAGTTGTGACTGTTGCTTGGCCTTGAGGATCATACTGGGTTTTGACTATACAGACAAACTAATGTCACTTACCAACAGTTTACCTCTCTTGTTCTTTCTTTTAGTTGTGACAATTGTTTGGCTTGAAGGTGGTATTGATTTTTGGCGTTACAGACTAACAACTAACCCGGGCATCTGACACTTGAATAGTATCGAATTCCCTTTTGGATAGCTCATCTTCCTTTTCATTTCCGGGTATGCCACAACGATCGGGAATCCACTGTAAAACGACTATTTTATGTTATTTGTGTAATTCTCGTCGTAGAGATCTACATTGCATTACAGATAAGGAAACAGAACCTGGATAACCATTAACAATTGCAAGTATTGCTGCTTAAGAGTCTGAGAACATAACAAACTGTTCATAAATAGAAGAACGAGCATTTAGATGGGTCAAAGCAACTTTAATCCCCTCAACCTCACCATCGAACGCAGCCTTGTCAGTTCCCAGAAGAGGAGAGTGTGAAAATTCCTGCTCCTGCGGCACCATTTATATCAAGTTTTGAGCCATCAGTATAGATATGCAGTCAAGCGTCAGAAGGAAAACGATTACAGATAGTTTCCAAACCCGCGTAGAACTACAGTACAATCTTGAGTCACAAAAACATTGTTCAAATGATCCAAAAGGTAGGATATCGTTATTGCTTCCAAAGGGTTAGTAAGTAGTAATAGTGGCTCAACCGGAGTGGAAATCTCAAACCCCTTACAAGACAGCTTGCAGGAAGCAATTCTACATTTTCAGTCTGCGGGGCAACATTAACTCCTTCGCACAGAAAAACGCAAAAACCTGTTTCTCTGAAACATCTGAAACGCCCGTGTGTACGAATTTTTGTTGGAATGAAGTTCTGCAACCATGCCAAGTAGAATGCTACAATTTTAACAATAACCTACTTACGTGAAGCGATTACTTCTCTGTTGAGGATCTTTGTCCGATTTCACCCACTTTGTGCAGTTCCCCTTTAGGACAGGATTGCAATTACGAGCATCAATAGCTAAACAAAGGAGAAGGAAGGTGCACTCAAATAAAAGAACTACTTTTAGTCGCTTGAAGCGAATGAGCCATGAATTAGCAGGATAGGGAAAAGCACAGAAATGGACACAGGTATTCGGGCGACCAGCCAATATTTGAATGCACGGGCATTTCGGGCGACTTCGCTGTGAAAGAGTAAAGTTTCTAAGGTATAAATTAATGTTTTAATCTTAGAAGTTTGCTTTGATGTACCAGAGTTTTAGTTTCTTTTACGTAAAATATTCTAAAATTGCATTTAAAAATTTTCTCTGTAAAATGTTTCATAAAGGTGAGTGTAGTAATATTTAATAATAACATGACATGAAAGCGAATCTGGTTGTATGTGTTTTTATTTCAATTGACAATATGTTACAGTAATGATGATTTATTGTGAACTAAATTAATCCAGTAATCAGAGGCCAGGCAACTGTCACAACTCAAGGCCTGAGCGGCCAGGGTTTTCGCTAAGAAAGCACAAGTTTCCCAAAACTACTATGAGAACAAATTATTTTTTTGATTTTAATGTAAAAACACTCCTGGTATTTCATACCTGGATTTGTTTTCTTTTGATATATTGCCTTAATTTCTTTCGCATATTTTAATATGCACGTATATATACGTTCTTACAGATATCACAAAAATATTCTAGGCCGTATATATATGGCCTTGCCGCTCAGAGGGTTAAACGTATTATTCCAAAAGCACAAATTGACGCTGCGTCAAACAAAATTTCAGAACTTCAAATATGTACTCTCAAAACAAAGGTTTTGCTAACGTTGCTTTGTATTGAAGCTGAAAATATTTTAGTAAACTTACAGCTGTTTCAAAAGATTGATATCGCTGTCAATTTCAAATCATTTTACATTTTTACAGTAAAACCAAGTGCTCCCTTAAGTGCGAATTGCAGCAGGATTACGCCGACAACAGTGTTTCTCGAGTGGAGTTCTCCTGCAAATATGGAGTACGGCGAATTCCGACCTGGACTGATGTATTCCATCCAATATCGTCCTTTGTCTTCAGATTCGGGAACATTTAAGGTAAAATCTTTTATTCTGAAGTTCATTCTAATTGAAACTCCAAGTGAATGACTGAGCGATTTAAAAGCAATACACCCTGTGTTTAATAATTTTAATTTAGGTAATACGTGTAACTGAAGCAGTTCAGAAGGTACACCTTGCACCATAAAAGAGAGGAGACATTTCTGTATCTCCCGTTTTACTGGACCAATGGTCGAAATTTAACTTCTGTTTCCCATGTCCCGAAAGCGCCACTTAGGATATATATATATTATATTTATATACAGTAGAATCTCGATATACGAGCACCTCTATATACGAAAAATTCGAGCACCTCTATATACGAAAAATTATTTCACGATGCCTTCCAAGAAAATTCTTGCCTCAGATAGTGCTGTAAAGGAAAAGAAGGAAACCATGGCCGTTAAGTTAAGAACGAAATCGTAAGGGGGCTCGTACACCTTAAACCCCTTCTGATCTTCGAATATACGACTGTTGCAAGAATTGGGATATTTTATTTATTTTAAAAGCAATTACTTCTAACCTTTTACAGCTGACTACATAATATAGCTGCTTTGGAAGTAAGTTGCCAGAAAGTTTGTGTTGCCACAAATATATTTGTAATTTAATCCGCTTTGTCACAATTTTTCATCATGTTTCCATTTAGCGCGCATGGTATTTTAAAAATGAGTAATGGCACATACTTGAAATTTGATGAATTCTTTATATTGGCACTATTTTCTAACTGAACCAAAAATCTGATGAATATTTTAATATTAAAAACTTTTATGCACGAAAACATGACAGATTTTTTAATAAAATACAATTTATAAACTCAACTCGAAATAAAAGAAAAATTTAACATGGAATTCTTAAAATTTTTGGTTTGCAGTAGTTTCCAAATGTTATAAAAGCTATATATTAAATATGGAATTAAATTATGGAACAGAATGTTTCAAACTTCAAGCAAGGTGGAAACAGGACGAAAAATGTTTTTACAAAGCAGAATAAATTACAAAAACATTTGTGGCAGTACAAACTTTGATTACTGTTTCAGAAAGCAGCTATATGATATAGTCAGTTGTAAAAAGTTGGAAGTAATTGCTTTTAAAATATTTAAGTTATCCCAATTCTTGCAACAGTCACATATTCGAAGATCTTATTGGTTTTAAGGTGTATGAGTCCCCTTAAATAAACACAAGCGTGGTGTAAGAGTGACAGAATTGGCGAAGACGTACGACCTTTCGACATCGAATATGTGCACTATTCAGAAAAGAAGGAAGAAATTAAGAGCCTTGATATGGCCAAAGGAGTTACCGTTACTTCCAAGCGCCTTCCAAAACTCCTAGAAGACGTTGAGAAGCTGTTGTTTTTGTAGATTAACGAAAAGCAGATAAAGTCGATTCGGTGTCGGAAGTTATCATTTGCCTTTGGATCTTCTTCGAAAAACACCAGGTACGTCGATTGAAGATGAGATGGCATTTAAAGCAAGCCGTGGATGGTTCGAAAAATTTAAAAAGACAACCGGTGTTCACAGTGTTCTACGACATGGTTAGGCTGCGAGTTCTATTACACCTCCTGCTGATACATTTTGGCCAGTGTTTCTACAAAATACACTCATGTCCATAAATTAAGGATAATTCGGAGTCACGCGGAAATTGAACTCTAAAATAAATATATCACCTGTAAAATCACTACACATATCTTCAAGAATCATATGCAAATTTCAGGAAGTAACCAGATGACACCGATGGTACGTCACAATGACGCGGGTGTAAGAGAGTGATATATAAGGAATACAGGCAAAGAATTAAAATTGTTCGCAGGCGCTTTATAAGCATTTCAGTGCAATAACCGAATAGTTATGACACAAAGGACGCATTTGGATGATTTTTTTACGTGGTAGAATTATCGGTCGTCTGGAATGTGGGCGTACCCAAATGGAAGTATTAGACGAACTTGAAATTGCCCAGAGTGTCATATCCAAGCTTTGGCAACGATTCCAAGATGATGGTAATGTGAGTAGACGTTACAGCACAGGTCGCCCCAGAGTTACAACGCCGAATGAGGACCGGTATTTGGCAGTTACTGCCAAAAGAAACAGGCGGAGCACAGCCTCAGACCTGTCTCGTCAGCTCTCTTCAGCCTCTGGTACGACAATTTCAAGGCAGACCGTGTACAGACGCCTACAGCAGATTGGTCTACTATATGCTCGTAGACCTGTCAGATGCGTTCCACTTACCGCAACTCACTGTCGCCTGCGGTTAGCCGGGAGTAGAGAGTATGCATTGTCGACACCGCAGCAGTGGGCTTGTGTTATGTTTTCCGACGAGTCCAGGTTTAACTTGCAGTCTGATTCTCGCCGGACTTTCATATGGAGAGCTCCAGGTACCCGTTACCACCAAGAAAACATCATTGAACGACACCGTTACTGTGGTGCAGGAGTGCTCGTTTGGGGTGGAATTATTCTGGGTTCCAGAACTAACCTGCATGTTCAAATTGGAACCATGACAAGCCAAATATATCGGAACGTCATTCTGAAACAACATGTACGTTTGTTTCGGGGCGCCATAGTCGCACAATTTGTGTTTATGGGTGACAACGCCCGTCCTCACCGTGCAAACATCGTAAGCGAATGCCTTCAATCGCAGGATATCACCCGTATGGACTGGCCAGCGTTTTCACCGGACTTGAATCCAGTAGAGCACGTGTGGGACATGCTTGGCCGACTAGATGCAGCCTGTCAACCTCCTCCTACACGTCTACCGGAACTTCGGAGACCATTGCTTTTTGAGTGGTGTAATATCCCCCAAGATCAGATCGATAATTTGATACTCAGCATGCCGAGGCGTTGTACGGACTGTATTGCATCGTCTTGGAGACATACAATGTATTAACAATCATACCAACCATGTAATATTGTTTTTTTGTAAATAGGTTTTTTTTTTAAATTTGCTCCAGGGAGAAAAAATCGCTAATTATTTTAATAATATCAAACATATAGCATATTTTTTTGCTCTTTACCTTTTGTTTAATAAATAAGCTTTACAAATAAGTCAAATTTGTTTTGCTTCTAACTCTTCCTTTGCCTGATTTTGCATTATCCTTAATTTATGGACATGAGTGTATTACTAGTGAAGGTTTTTTCCCGCAGCAAGCATTTAATTGTTATAAAACAGGTCTTTTTTGGAAGAAAATGCCTAATATGACCTACATCACACAAGAGGAGAAATCTTTGCCTGGACACAAACCAATGAAAGATAGGCTTACTTTCTTGTATTGCGCCAACGCAAGTTGAGATTGTAAAATCAAGCCGTTGCTCGTCTGCCACTCAGACCATTCACGAGTTTTCAAGAGGGGGAAGGTGTAGAAAAACGAACTGAATGTGATATGGGGGGCCAACTGTAAGGCCTAGGAATTTTTTAATCCCTCAGTGACGAAATACCTTACCGAAAATAAGGCTTTGCTTGTCCTTGATCATTATCCTCCACATCCTCCGGGGCTTGTAGATGATGCACTGGAGGAACTTCAGTTCATAAAAGTCAAGTTTCTTCCTCCCAACACCAGTCCGCTTCTCCAACCTATGGATCAGAAAGCTATTTCCAAATTTAAGAAGTTGTATACAAAGGCCTTGTTTCAAAGGTGCTTTGAAGTGACTGCAAATACAAGCCTGACCCTCAGATAATTTTTGGAAGCTGTACACTCAGATAATTTTGAAAGCTGTACACGAAGGCCTTGTTTCAAATGTGCTTTGAAGTGACTGCAAATACAACCTCAGATAATTTTAAGACCCTGACACTCAGATAATTTTAAAAGGATCACTTCAACATCCTAAATTGCTTAAACCTCATTGATAAGGCTTGGGAAGAAGTCTCAGTGAGTACCCTGAAATCAGCATAGAAAAAAAATGTGTCCTCAGAGTATTCCTGACTTAGGTTTCGATCCTCAACCTGTGGACAACACAGTGCAGCTAATCGAAGAAACTGTGTCTCTAGGGCAAAAATATGGATGCGGATGTGGATGCTGCTGATCTGAAAGAGTTAGTGAAGGAGTATAGTGAAGAACTTAATTCGGACGAATTTAAAGAATTTCACAAGGAGCAGTAGCAAAATATGGTAGAAGTACTTTCGTTAGGCGAAGAGGAAACAGGAGATGAGGTCCTCTGTTCCAGTAAGATTAATGGACTCATGAACAACTGAAAATTACCGCCCATCTGGTACAGCGTCGCTGACTACCGTGTCGATGTTTCCGGCTCGAATCTCGTGGAAGGATGAATGTTTGTAAACGTATAGTTTCAGTGCAGCATGGAGGCACTCTAAATATGCAGCGAGCCGAAAGTCCTCCCGAGAGGTTTGTGATAGCGAAACAACGATTGAAAATTAAGAAAAAAGAACCTAAAATTTGTATAAAACTCTACCAATTACGAAAGCAATCTAGCAAAACCCTTCCATCGGGCGATAAATTCTACTCATATAAGAAGAGTTGTATTTTTATAGCATTTATTATGTTAAATTTATGAATGCCTATTCAAAGTTCGGTTTTTCAGAACCTTCAACTCATCAGAATGATGATAAGATCATTAAGTGTGGGAGAGGCAAAAAAATGTTTTAAATAAAATAATTGTTACAAAATTACAGCAAATGTCATAAGCGAGTATAAGTAGTTAGATAAGTAATTAAAAATATGGGAAAATTCTTCTGATGACCTCTTTCAAACAGAATAATATTTCTGAAAAGAAGTAGCACATATTTAGTTCACTCATGATGTTTGTCGCTATGAACAGAAGGTCGCCAAAGATTTTTAAACTACATCCTGATAAGCTATCGAGTTCAAATTTTGTAAACATATTGATTGCGGATATATGGTAGAACGAGTTTTATAAAATTCCATTAAAATTTTTTTAATTTAATGTTGACAAGAGTTTTGCACATATTTTCATTTGCAAGGCAAACTACAAAAGTCTAAAACTTTAACGTTTGCACCTACGTAAAATATTCTTTTAACTGAAATTTGTACGAAAT